TGCGAAAACTCTGGTGTGTGTGGAGCAGGGAAGACAAGTGAACGTGTGAAGGCGTGAAATTTCGTCTGCAAAACGCCGCTTGAGGAAGACAAGTGAACGTGTGAAGACGTGAAATTTCGTCTGCAAAACGCCGCTTGAGGAAGACAAGTGAACGTTCGAAAACGCGTGAGACTTCGTCTGCCTCAAAGAACAAATGGACGCAGGGAAAACAAGTGAACGTGGTAAAACAAGCGAGACTTCGTATGCAAGGCACGTGTGAAGCAAGAGAGCATCTCAACACGTGGTGTGAGCTTTCTTGGCTGGCTAAATAAAACGAGGTTTGCATATAGGAAGATGTAGGAATACTGAGTGAAAAGAAAAAGGGAAATATGGCTCTCTTGGCTGCAAAAAAAAACAAGTGAGCAATGGTGCAATCGTTTGTAAGGAAACGCGTGAACTGTAATATTGCTGGCTGCAAAAAATGAACAAGTGAACAGTGATACACTCATTTACAAATGAACAAGTGAACTGTAATACATAGAGATCGTAGCCCACATAACGGATCCGTTATACGGTCTACGATTTCTATGCAGTGATAATGCTCACTGCAACAAACAACAAGTGAACATTGATGCAACTATTTATAAATAAACAAGTGAACTGTAATACATAGAGGTCGTAGCCCACATAACTGATCTGTTATGTGGTCTACAATTTCTATGCTGCGATACCATTGGCTGAAAAAATGAACAAGTGAACAGTGATACACCCATTTTTACAGAAACAAGCGAACTGCATTAATTACATAGAAATCGTATCCCACCTAACGGAACCGTTATACGGTCTACGATTTCTATGCTGCGATACTATTGGCTGCAAAAAAACAAGGTTAACAAGTGAACAGGCAGAAACAAATAATGATGATGACACAGACACAATCGGCTGCAAAGAAACTATCGAGCAGTGTTCATGCTAAATTGAGAAGTAGAAATCCGTAAAAAGGTTTTTTTTTATCGGTGTGGTGGGATCTCAGCATGCGATGACGTCAAGGTCACGTGACTTTTCTAACGTCGTAGAGATTGAATTATTTAGTACTGCAAGAATAGGTCCGCTACTGCGGATGCAATACCTGACTACTTGGCAGGCAGGCAGTTAGGTAGGCAGGCAGGCAGGCAGGCAAACAGGCGGGCAGATAGAGTTCAGACAGGTAGGCAGGCAGGCAGGCATGCAGGCAGGCAGGCAGGCAGGCATGCAGGCAGGCAGGCAGGCAGGCATGCAGGCAGGCTGGCGGGCAGGCAGATAGAGGACAGACAGGTAGGCAGGCAGGCAAACAGGCTAGCACATATGTAGGCAGGCAGGTAGGCAGGTAAGCAGGCAGGCAACCATGCCTACAACAGACAGGAAGACAGTCAACTAGTAGGGCCCGTAGGGTCTATGTCTCCCTGACCTCTGTTTGACCTGGCTCGTTTGGTTATTTCTGACTAACACTAACCCTAACCCTAACCATATCAGATAGTTACCAGGGTTAGGGTTAGTCAGAAATAGCTAAACGAGCCAGGTCAAACAGAGGTCAGGGAGACATAGACCTTATCTGCACTAGTAGGCGCGTCTGCCTGTGACGTCACGTCTATCTGTCTGTCTATCTGAAGCTTTAGCTGGAGAGCGACTGTCATCTTAATCTGTCACCATCAGCAACTGTCAACCAACTATTGTTGACACAGCCACAGACAGGATCGCTATAAATGCTGCTGCTACAGCTATAAATGCCGAACTGTTTGTTCTATTGATTCTCAGTTCGCTCCTTCTGTTAGCAATAGTCCTTCAATATATCTGGAGAACGTGACCAGTTCGTTTCGATAACGTGGAGTATGATTAAGCGTGTTGCAGGGAAAATAAACGGGTAAGCTAGCAAAAAATACAAGGTCTATTAAAAGTAATGATCACAGATAGAGACAGGTAAGGGAAATTGCTTAGTTTTGTACGATAAAGTACAGTACCTCCCTCTACTCCTTACTCATATATATATATATATATAT